TGTTGTTGTTTTTTTTGTTCCAAGTTAACTTACATTCAATCACTTTAAACTAAACAAGCAATTTATACATTGAAAGATATAAAACTATGATAAATAAAAATACTGAAATATTCAACCATCCAAGAAAAATACTCTTGATTATATGAATTTCTATGCTTAATCTTAATATGAATACAGTAATAACAGGAAAAATTAAGTTTTGTTGGTTTATATAAATACATAATAATCTCTACTTATTAACTTGGAAAAGAATTTTTTTTAATTTTTCAATGATTGTCGATATTTTTTTAGTTTTAATGTTTATTAAGCAATAACAGTTAAATAATTATTCCACAAGTTTTTAAGTTCATTTGTATATATTATCATTAAAATAAAGAATAGATCAAAGTTAGACAACTAGTGAAAACCTCAAACCATTGGACAGTTTTCTCGTTCAAATATAGTACTCCTCATTAGTGTACATCCAAGACTCGTTGTGTATGAATCCAACCCACGACTTTTGGTCTCTCGTGTGAACAATTAACCTCTAGATCTCTGAGCCGGCATCTCATGGTGTTACTATATAACTTCAGTCAGTCCACGATAATGCGCAACCAACTTCTGTTGTCTTTAATGGGTCCCTTCTTCATACCTGAAACAGTTTAAATCCACGGGTCATGGCCTCTCACTAGAACTATGAGAATTAACTCTTGAAGCTAATCACCAGTGACCACAATCTGAACAACTCTATATTGACATATATAGTACTGAATTATGCTAAATTCAGAAAACCAGTTTTCCTGGCATTTAAATAAGATATATTTAATAGCTAACACTTCACATGACTAATGAACAAACAAATAATGATCATTCACAAAGATTTTCAAAATATTCTATGTGTTACCTAATAATAAAATCTTACGAACACAAAGTACGATTGATCAGTTTCTACTTATCACCTAGATATTTTACCAATAGTCAATAACAACTCTAAATGTAAAACAAGAAAAAAAACAACGATAGATTGTCGTCTACTAAGTTATCGTGTGAAAATAGTTATGAATGAATTAGTAATAAAAGGGGATTAAAATAAAACATTACTATTCAACTTCCCCGCCCAGCCTAAACAGCTTCATGATAATAAAATGCTTTAAACTTAAACAAATTCAGATCGAAAGTATAATCAGCTTTATCATGACGTTCTATGGTGCTCACTCATCATATTTCATTATGACTTCAATTTTTTGGGTGTTCATTTTACTCAGATTGTGCTTGAAACGTCTAAGTTACATGGTTGAAACCATGTGAATTTTATTTCCATTACTGGAAAAGTCTATTATATCAGAAGAAAAGCATGATTTCTGTCCAAATATTTATTGTAGCATCATTTCAAATATAATTCATTTATAGTTTGATAATGTTCACACTTTATAAGACCAATCTAAACACAATTTTTATAAGTAAAATAATTTACGTAATAAACAAAACAATAAATTTGAGCGTTATGATAGAACAAGTGATCTAACGCAATACTAAAATAACCAAGGTTATCAAACTGATAATCTGATCTATCAACATATCTCTGAATCTTACATAAACAGACTTATGAAGATAAAAACAATAGTCAACTGACTGAATATCATCAAATATATGAGAACGTTAGTTATACAGAAAATGTTCTTTTTTTCAAAACAATGTGATTAGATTAGCTACTGAACAACAAATAATTGATCAAGATCGAAAATCAAGATTTACAAAACTTTCAACCAGGGTCCATTTGTGTCCATTGTATCCTTCGACAACTGATACAAATTGGTATGATATAATTTGATTCGTTTTTTCGCAAAACATTTTTTCTAAAAGTATAAAGCAAAAGCTTATCAATTTATATGATTAAGATAAACCACGGAACAAAATTTCGTTTTACAGTTCTAAACAAACACTGTGCCTCAGATAGTTTGAAAGTGACTACAATTTATTTTAGTAAAAACATTGAATCTGTTTCAACGAACATTATTCTGGTTCATAGAAAATGTTTTGGACTAAAAATTACAGTATTATATTGGATAATTGATGTATTGACCTTTTCTCATTTAGAAAACTTCAAGAATAATCAAAGTGGTTTATTGATAAAAACGCCACTATCCATCTCTGTTTATAATACTTGTGACTTAAGGCAATATCGAGACCATCCACATATAATCTACATTTACCAATAAAAGACTGATCAGTTGCAGTCCTAAACATTAATCGGAAGATTCAAACAACCAACACAAGGCGAATCATCTGAATATTCCTTAAAAAACTTTAAAATAATGAGAATTACTGCTCAAAAAAGTTAAGTAATTATATAACTGGAATTAATTGTATTTATCAATGAAACACTTAATTCAGAATGTAAGTGAATGATAAATATCGCTAAAAAACGAAACAAACATTTGTAATTCATCCAGTCTGTATATTTCAGGATAAATAAATATACCAATTTTAAATGACTCATTAAGTCTTGTCTTTTAAATTATAGTGGAAAAACGGAGATCGATCAAAGTCAATACCAACTAGGAAACTCCAGTGAGATACCATTTATTTTCCTCTAAGTTCATTTACCAACGTCACCATGACAACGCGATCATGTGCAGACTTATCAGAGTACTGATGAACATCAATCATTACATTTTCAAAACAGAAAAAGACTGAAAATAATTTTGGGTAAATTAGTATGTCTCGAGTTATCCGTAAAAATTATAAAGACAAAATTATTTAATCTCTCCCCACTGCATAACACAAGCGTATTTCTCAGCTTCAAAATTTCTCTTCTCAAAAAGAATTCTTATCTTTGATCACTGAACTATCAGAAATTTTACTAACCTACCTAAAAGTAGATAAATAACAACTACGTCAATCTCAGGACATAAAAGCCGTACAAAATTATCAACTCCCTTGGGCTGAATACCATAGAGATTTAGGTCTCAATGCATATCACTATTCGGGTATCTGACGAATGGATTATATCTTTGGTCTTAAGAAAAAACTCCATCGAGTATTTAGTATATACCGAGCAACATCTCTGCAGACGCTATTTAGACTCAAACTTGTATAAAATGAAGATATAGGATAAAAACTAATATGGTTATAAATTGTCCATGGAACGTAAAGATCCATTGTATAAGAAAAGCCAAAAATTTAAACTCATGGGTTAGTGATCATTTTTAATAACATTATTATCAAAGGAACCTACCTTCCATCACACGTCCATCTTTACATTCTTTCGTAACACGAAGTAAATTATTGCGGGTGAAATTCAAAAAGCAGATCATTTATGCCTTGAACTGGCTGTTCGTTAGTTTTTACACCAAACAAATTATCTGCAATCAGTTATAACTTGATCCTCCCCAAAACTGTCTAAAGTTTTAACTATATATTTTACATAATGTCACATTTTTGAGAAAGTGAATATGGATTCTTCAAAGCATTGTAAAGGTTGACAATAACTAATTTCATTCCAACACTTCAGGCTTTAATAAAAACTAATGGATTTTACTAAAACATGTTTAGATTCATGACAAAAATGTCAAGATGTAACGTGAATTCGAGTTAGAAAATAGCAAGTAAAACCTGTAATATTTTTGGGTAAATTTGTATTCCTCTTTAATGCTGGCTCAAGGATCATCTTGATATGAATGTATACATTTTAGTATGAAGTAGTGGATCGTGGATGTGTACTGTTGAAGAGTCCAATAAGTCAGCTTACTTATAAGTAGTTTGTCCTGAACTTGAAAAACAATAACCATAAGGGAACTGCCGATAAATACCTGATTATTTGACTAAATGCATAATTAGTTATCTAAACAATATTTGGCATTGAAACAGGGCTTTTAGTTAGTTAATCAAACACTACAAAATTTCTAATTACCTAAGTGACCACCAACTTACGTAACTAATTGTCTGAAATCCTATCCATATGATAGAACTACTAATTATCCGTTTGATACCTTATTATTGGTTCACTATTTTAATATCTCTACACAAAATACTTGATAAAATATAGTATATTAGCTACTTTTGAAATATTATGTAACGAAAGGCAGATAAGTTATGATCATTTTACTGAATTAGCTGTTTAAATTCAATTTTCAGTCTTTACTCAACAATGACAACTCTAATAATTGAATTACGACCAAGATTCGGTACTCAACATCCTATTTAGATACGTATTCGTTTTTAGTACCCCATTCATCTGACTCAGGTTTGATTATGTGATGACGCTAACGAAATATACATGCCGCTAACCCTCGTAAATAATTACTGATTTAATCCGCGTTAGGGAGTAACGGAATAGGATTTTGATGCGTATATTTCATACACTCGTTGATCCAGACAGACAATTAAAGGAACGAATAGGAGAAGCAAACAGGATAAAACAAACATGCCAAATAAATTTGATCAAGCGTAACTCAGCAATCATAGCCAAACAAAAATAAGCTATAGACATGTGGTGAACCAAGTAACCGATGGACACACACTCGAATATAAACAGTCAAGGTTATAAGAAAATAATTGACAAGGTGAAAATGTGACTCAAGAAGAATGAATAGGTTAGTTAAAGTAGCCCATGTGGGATTGACATAATACCAGACACTACACCGTTATACCTCCACCTTCTTTAAATACTACATTATATCGTGAAAACCATTCTTATTTTGTAGCACTAACAGTAGGAGTAAACTGGATTTTTTTGTATAAGTAATTCATGAAAAACAAATCCAATGGTCAAATAAATGTAAGCATAAGGCCCACAATAATTTTATCGACTCCGGTCAATACATGAAAATGACTACTTATTTATAATTAAAGACGTGGATCTAACGTTCTACCTATACATTGCACCCAAACTAATCAGCCCGCATGTATGTTCTTCACCTTTTTTTATTGGTTTTCAACATTTTAAAAAACTTTTAACAAGAAATACGGGTGAATTACCTGAGAACTTTAAATCTTCAAATACATCATAACCAAGTTCATAAACCTACAAATCACATGTTTAAAATAATATGAGATTTATGCAAAGTGCCCATATAGTACATATATATAATGTATTTCTAAAAGGGTATTATTAGTTTTTCTGCGTATTTCCCAGTCGGTTTGTTAAATTAATTAAAATAATCTAAGAAAAGACAATTATTATCCAGAATGAAATTTCTTAATTATATAATTTTTCTCAAAATATGGTTACTTTTATTCCATGTTATTGTATGTATTGGCGGCTATGGAAAAACTTCCTACGATCAATTGGATAGTGACTACAAAGATGAAGTAGAACAAGAAATAGTCAAAGCACCTTTGAGTTTCATGCCAGGTACGAAAAAAGTTACATTTTTGACCACTCATAATTATAGTAATGTTAACTGAATTTTATTGTGGTTAAGTTCTCTAAGTTAAATGGATTAATTGAAGAGCTTTCATTGACGTTCTAGATAACATTGTCAGAGGTGACTTCATGTAGAAGTGAGCCTCTTCGTTACCACACATAATCATTCTAATGGCCTAGTTTGTAAGAACTCATCAACACCAAAAGCATACATCTGAACTAAAAAAAATTTCTAGATCATTACATTATCATAAAAACTAATTTATAGAAAGAGATCAGCTTGACAAAATTCCTAGAATTTCTCACACTTCTATTACTAAGTCAGAATCGTTTATTGTTTGTGTTAAATTTAATCATATTTGTATATGATATTTTACAGAGTGCTCGTTTGATATTGAGCGAAAAAAATCGTTAATGCTTATTAATGGAGAAGTAATGTAATATCATAACTAAGGATTTATAGTGGATAATTATTCCCGGTTAGAAAACTAAAACATTTTATCAATAAAATAATGAATGACTTTTACAGTTTACTACTATCAGTAATAAATAATTATGCAATTAGTCGCTTTTAACTTACAACTTCATAATTCTATGACATTTTGATTCTGAAACTGTTGATGTAAAATGAAACGCCCATACCATCTTAAACACAATTTCAAACAAGGTGGTAACACAATAAACTAATTCAATAGCCTAAACGTATAAGGTAAGAACAGATAGAAAATATGAAAAAATTTCATGGTTTATTATTTACCGAGAAATTTCTTGTAATGCAGTTAGCTATACAACAACTGGTTAACGATGAACAAATAAGAATTTTATTCTTTACAACATTGGGTTAGATTTTCAATTGATTCATGTCTGGGAATAGTATTCTCCCCAAGAAAAATGTATCCGCGCTATCGTTGCCGTCATTTGTTAGTTAACTTTTAATTCTTTTCCCAACCCTAAACAAATCGCCAAGTGAAAATGAGACAGCTATTAAATAATAAATAAATATAAACTGAACTAATCAGTACAGGGGATTTGTAGAGATTGTAGTATTTTACGGTTTAAATCACAAACTGATCTTAGCTAGACCACCACTGAAAACCTGGAAGCATTGAACGATCGTTTCGTCCTAGTATGGGACCTAGCAGTAAGTATCCAAACCGAAGTACTCGACTTCTGATCTTACTAATTTCAAATATATAATTACTCCAAAATATCCTTTAGCTCTGATAGTCTAATGTCCACTGAACACCTACAAATATCATACAAATATTATTCTTATAGACTTTTCACTTTCTTCAATCAAACAATTGAATGGAAAAATTTATTTTGAATCATTCAAACGAAATCTAGTTATCAGTACTATTTGATCACATACTTTCGAATGATCTTTATTCTCAAAATAGAAAATAATTAATTTTATAGAAAAATGTTTAAGAAATTTTCTTATATGAAGTAAGTTAAATTTGTGGATTGTCAAATAGAGATCAAATCTATTTGAGTAATTAATGAGTCACATCCGAAGTATTCGGCTTGCAATACTTATATGAAGATAATTTTTCTTTAAACTAATGAAAAGCTAAGATTTTCAACAGAAAACGATTAGAAACTTTATCTTAAAGTATATTTCAGCTAACTTACTAAATTGTTTCAGAAAGAGAAGATAAAAGAACTAGAGTATGAGTATTTAGTTTCTCAAAACAGATGTACATTCTGAAGTACATTTTAGTTATGAGATTATTCAATATTGATATTATGTAAAACAGTGATAAGATACATGACTTTAACTTATATACCATTATCTGTACTAACCAATCTCCAAAATCTAACGAATAAGAATCAAAAATTACATTTAAGTCGTTAGCTAGGAAGAATATTCACTATAGTATGATATTATCCATACGTATTTTAATGTCCAATAAGTGTATGGTGTCCGACGTTTCAAGATATTTCTCCGTCCACTAAGTGGCTGACTGCTGTAGAGTGTAATTGTCATCTTAAACATTCTAGGTTTTCCCCATCTGTCTATTATGAATATGTCAATGTAGCGAATTCCAAAATGTAAGTTAAGGCTTGAATTGATATGTTTAGTGGAAACTGAATTCTTTTGTACAACACTAAGCCATTTAATGAACGGATAAGATAACTACGTATAATATATCACTATTTTGCGAGCTGTTCATTAAAGTATAACTTCTTTTCCTATACATTGTTTTTAAGTTTGCAAACCTCAACAAATACATACATTTTCTCAAAAACAAATTCGATGTGCATGCGGGATCAAGTGTCAATACCTATGTCAAACAAAGACGACAAAGGAAAAAGAAGGTGAACAAAGAAAAACATGCAGAAGAGTATGTCGTCAAAAACCATGTTACCGGCCATCAGTACACAAAGTTTACCACTATAGCTTAGCAGGTGGTCTTTGTCGAATGTAAGTATGATCTTTGTGATTAAATTACACCAGTAATTATGTTCATGTGATCAAAGGTTCCACTTTCAAAGCTATCCCAGCCTCCTATACTCTTTGTAAATAAAAATGATAACCGCAGCTAGTACATCATTTAGAGAATTTGAAGATTACTCAAAGATATTTGTACAAAGTACTAAACATGGCTGATATATTCTGTTTATTACTTAGATAGAGCATAATTGGTTTTTAAGTAATCGGCAAACAATTACTAACACGAGATATTTGAAAATCAAGTAGTTCAACGATTTATGAGGTCAAACAGGTATTCTAGGTGGAATTGGATTGTCATGGTTATTTCGAATTAATCAATGTTGGAGATGGAAATAATTGAATTATGACTCAGAGGTCCAGAATTAATGCGTTCCACGTAGGACCTGAAGGTTATGACTCCTACCTTGAGTAGAGTTCCCAATACGGAAGAATCCAAAACTAGAACAAAGCACCTCTTGATTATCCACGGTTTATAACAGTTCACTCCTTATCTGGTATCTAATAAAACTAATTGTCCCAGGATCCCAAAGAGCTACAGAAGTATATATAGAAAAACTCAACCATGACATGTCAGACTATTCTTTGTATCTAAACTAAATAATTAAAAATTTGTCCCACCTATTTTTCCTTGGATCGAAATCATTCAATTAATAGTCTGGTGAAATAAATGTCATACACTAGTGAAACTAAATAACCGATGATCTCTAGTTTTTAAAGACACTCTTGCGACTGAATTTTTCGTTCTGTTTTCCGAATAGTTCTATAACTTACATAGTACGTTACAATTTGAATACAAGGTATGTTTGAGCGTGTTATGTTGCAGGGTCAAATGCTAATAGCAACAGCATATTAATTAGCCCTAATACATTAGCAAAGTTTGATGTTGCGTAGGTAATAAGGACGAAATAGGATTAAATATTCTACTTAGTTATTTTTATGTACTAATCTGAAGTCGATATACATGGTTAAAGATGACTTTATAACAAATACTACAATTAAACAACAATGCGTCGGTCTAATCAATGTAAGAAAATCAACTGTTGAGATCCGAAATCTACAAAAGTACCGACAGTCTTTCAAATATCGCTCGCGTTAGGAAATGATACTCAATTAGTTTCTCTATAGTCCATCAAGACTAATTGTACTACATCAGTTTCTTTTCTCGAACTGACGTTAAACTGCTATACTTCTGTCCTGATGACTAGAAATGATTAAAATATTCATTTGAATCATCCACCTCTAATAATAAGTCAACACTGAAAGTGTTCACCTAGACTAAAAATCTTTACCATTTAGTGAAGATATCGGAATTGTAACTTGTATGAATTCACTGACTAAAATACCAAATATGTTAGTAAACCTTACAAAATATCAGAATAAAAATGTTTAAATCGCCAACAAACTTTCCAGATATTCTGAACTGTCAAAACAATTTGTATCCATTAAATCATATTTCTAATCAATAAACAGCGAAGTATCTGTAACAAGATCAAAATGAACTCTTCATAGTTTAGTAAGGTTTATATTGAAAAAAGTTACACAAATTAAGTTTCCCAAACATTCATAATAAACATTATAGTAATGACCTGGAAACATAAAATAAAGGAACAACAGTTATCATTGTACGAAATTTATCTAAGAAAAATTGTAACATTAAATTTAGTTCAAGTATTCACGACTCCATTTAAACATTTATCAAATCTATTCGACATGGTCAATTACAAAATATATCCTTAAACCCTGCTATCATCGAATATTGATTTATGTAATATCACAATGTTGTTTGGATGAAGTCAAGACAGTAGTACTGTACGGAGCTGAGACGTGGAGAACTACTACAACCCTCATCGAAAACGTACAAGTATTTGCAAACAATTGTCTACACAAGATACTCAATATTCGTTGGCCGGATACCATCAGCAACAGCCTGCTGTGGGAAAAAACAAACCAGCTCCCAGCTGAGGAAATCAGGAAAAGGAGTTTGAAGTGGATAGAACATACACTATGGAAATCACCAAACTGCATGACGAGCCAAACCCTAATTTGGAATCCTGAAGGGGGGCGGAAAAGAGGAAGGTCGAAGAACACACTGCGCAGAGAATTGGAAGCAGACATAAAAAGGATGAATAGCAACTGGAAAGAACCAGAAAGAATTGCCCAGGACAGGACTGGACGGAGAGTGCTGGTGGGTGACCTATGCTCCTATACGAGGGGTAACAGGTGTAAGTAGTCTGAATGAAGTGAGAAACAACAAAAGTATGATTATCTTTATTCGATTGACAATAACTAGTCGACACTCAAAACCATTCACTAAGGTTGTAACTTTAGTTTCAATTAACACATTTTTCAATGATAGTTAATTTTACTCTTATTTATAATAACAAAGCAAATAATACATAAATGATTATTTCAAAGTAATATTTTTAAGTCTTTATTAAGTCAGAAAACATTGACGATATTGTTTTTCAACATTAACCTTTTTTATTCTTCCAAGCCGTTTCAAACAATATTCTTAATATTCTGATTTTAAAAGGTGGAATGTTTGTACATATCATGCGAAGTGTGAAGGCAAAACACGTAGATGGGTACAATATCATCTTTCTTCATGTCAAAGAGCAAATACACGACACAGATACAAATTATGGTTTAAAGATATATAGTTATTATAAAAATATATACATCTATATTTACCACTGACAACTTCCATTCTCTCTTTTGTGTGGTCAATAAATATAATAAAATTCTCTTAAATGTTTCAGACATTTTTTAAAATGCTTTTACGATTACCGTTACTTGTCACTTCGATCATACAAATAAAGCATTTTAAATGAAATCAGATTTCACCAAGATTCATGCTCCTAAAACAAACCTATTTTAATACTCTACTCAAATAATCTGAGATAAGCGTTGTGAAGAAAACTTTGGACAGTGGTTCCTGGTGTCTGAAATAGTTACCCAAGTAAATGAAACTGTCGCCACAAAATTTTCACTAAATCAGTCAATAAACCCAGTACGGTTCACGAGAACTTCAGCTACTTGTGGAGTAAGTGCCACGAACTGTCAGCACTTAGTGAACTTCGTTTACGAATCCACCTATTACTTTGTAAGACAGGATTAGTAAGCATTCCAATGGACTGGATATAATTTAGTTACGAATTACGATTGATCTTAGAGGGTGACAGCTACCAATAGTAACATGTTGTTCACTCTAAAATAAAGTGACGATTTTCTTTGGGAAAAATCAGTGTCAGTCTACAGCTCCTAATCGCAAAGCTCTAAATGTCAGAAACGCTTAAGAACTAGGTGGTCGTTGCTTGAAAATAACAGTCTCATACTAATCAGTAAAGTAGCTTTTTATGAGACGTATTTCAGACGCCTTATTCACCACGAATCGTCGAAATATATCTTATTCTCCACTTCTTCAAACCATTTAGGAATCGAAATATCATGAAAAATACGGCACTCAAATTTGCTTTAAATCTTTTGACGGATGCTTTCTACATCAATTCAATTTAACTCAGTACTAAAAAGAAACTCAATGCATAATAGGTCTCCGACTTATTGCTAAGCTTTGAACAGCATTTATGAAATAAAGACAAGATTTCAAGTGGATGCTACCTTGCTACAATAGATGGGATAGTGCTACACTTCTTGACTATCTGATGCTAAGTCGATTCCCTAAATCAGCAACTAGTGAGTTCTGTAAAAAAAGAACTGAATTTAACGTCCTGCAAAAAGCACGAAACGTTTGGAAAATAATACTTTAGTGTAAACCGAGACACTAAGAAAGGTTTGTTCAGATGTATAAGTTCAACAAAGAAAAATGTACTGCTTAAAATCATAAGTTTCAAGCCACATCATGTCAACATCACTTATACAAAATTACACATTAATCAAGTTTTGGGACCCAAATCACTGACTGCTGAATACCAGACTTTGAAAATTATGTCTTACGTAAGTCATCGTTACTTTCAACAACAAAACTAAGTCAATGTTTTTGTTACATATTTATCATATGAAACAGAACTCGGGTAATATTTTGTTAATAAGCTGAACAGTAAACCATTAAAACAGAGCATAACACTTCACCAGATGAACAGATTTTGTAGAAATTTTTTCGATTTTCAAATGAAAACAAAATGCACAAGAAAATTTTATATTATAACTGTAATTTATTAGAAATTGAAAAAGAAACGAAGTTGTAGGAATGATTTATATACAGTGATTCAGAGTATATTTATGAGATATACAATTTCTATTTTAAAAATAAGCAAAATTTTGAAGAAAAGTGTAAATATTGCTTACAAGACAGACTGAGAACAACACCTTAGCACAACATTCATTCATATTATATGACTGCTTAAAAGAGATAAAGACTTATTTTTGTGAACTCGAATAAATAGAAAAAATTTTGTTTTAACTTAATACACAATAAATTGATGAAATCATAACAATCAAACAAACTGACAACTTAAATTACAAGATAAATATCTCTACATTTATGTTTACATATATTTACATTTGTGCGCTATTCACAAAATTATCACTTGAAATTAAATGTTCCGGTAAAAAATACTCATCTGGATTCAAACCCATCGCTTTTCTTACCGTATATGGATGGATGAGATCCCCTGGACGAGCACGTTTCGTCAGCTTAATCAGCTTTTCAGTAAGTCTATGGGCGATGGACATTTCATTTGGAGTTGGTCGCAGTGTTGAGCCTAGATTTGCAGCCTGAGAAGTGTCACCAAGTCTCAAATATTGTGAGCAATAAAGTGCATTTAAATCTTGGGCAGATTCAACTAGTTCTGTACTGAATTGCTTAGCATCATCAGCAATACCTAATGGAAATCAAACAAATATTTTTCATGGTAGAAAGCGTTTATTTGGCAGTTATATATATAAACGTACACGTTACAACTCTCCTATTATCTAGAAAATAAGTACAAGACCTCGAGATGGTGGAAGAGATTGTAGCTCAGGTCGATGATTTTGATGGAGTTTCGTCCTCTGAGTTGTATCGTAGAAGTTTGTGCTGATGATGTTCAGAAGAATAATGTAAGCTCCAAAACTAAACCAACTAGCACAGAGAATGAAACTCCACAAGTACAAGACTTCCTCTTCTATACAAAAATTATCAAGTAGTATAGTCTCACTAACATTATGAAAGGTTTACCTGTGCCCATTATTCGACTTCTCAAGACAAAGTATGTGGAAAGGAATCAAGCATGTCATCGAGTATTTGAAATTTGAATTTCTCTTTACTCTCGTATTTATCGGATTGAATATTACAGTAAATTGCTATCTGCACTGACCACATTAAGTGATGTTTATCAAAACTGCTACTTTCCATGCTTTTGTTAAGTTCTTTAAAGAATATGATCGTAGAGATGGCCCTTTCTTCGTTTGACTTTTTAGAGATCAATCTCGTGCTCTAAAACACAGATGATAGTCATGTTTGGTGAATATAACGAAGAAATGAAGCTATTTCAATGACTTTACCAACATTTTCAAAATGTTTGGAAAGGGTAATCCATCTGAATGTAAAATGTTCTTTCAGGATTAATCTGTGTCAGCTTATGCTATGACCATAGGAACCTAAGTAGCTGAGTGAATTGACCACTTCACTTATTATGGGAGTCTCCTCGGACCTGATTTTCTCATCTCTGACGAAGTCTCGGACAAAAAGATCTTGATTGTTCCACTTTTCACCGCTTGTCACATGCGAGATATTTATCTGTAAACGTAAGTCAATATAATGCTCAGTAGTCTACTTTTGTACTTTGTGGTTATGAAAAATCCCCAATGGGAGCAAAATACATCTGTAGGTTAGCAATATTTGATTACAGACTTACTAGAAGCATAGTTTTAAGTAGAAATGGTGTATCGATTGGTTAGACTACAAACATTTATGGATCTGAGTGGTTGGGATACATGTTACGTGAGACTAGCCACCGACTAAATGCACAACGACTACTGGCGTAGGAGTGGGTTATAGGGAGGCTAAGGGTGATGACACCAATATATCAGTTCACAAGCAACTCCTTGAAATAATCGACTTTATGAAAATTAAAAATGTAACTAACTTTGTTCTTCAGACTGCGAACGTACACTTGAATCGATGGAGTTATGATGAGTAACCGAATCTAAGTCACATGCAGCAGGAGAGTTGTTGACATCTGTAGATGTGATACTTCTTTCATCAGAATTAACTTCTGAACACAAATCTAAGGTATCGAAAGCAGACAATTTCTCTTCCTTTTTAATAAGGTCACGTGTAAATGCATTAGCTAAACACATACTAAATACAAATTCATCAGGTACATCAGGACCAGGAATGATATCTTCTAATTCAGATGATAATTGGGCTATCGCACGTTGTTCACTTTCTGCAACCGCAAGAGAGACAGCTAACTGTTGATCCCCCATTTCCAAGACAGTTGATATTATTTCATCTGTGATCTCGAAATCATTTGCACAACTATATGAATCAAAACTATTCGACGAACAGCTGCCAAGTACAAATGGAGTACGTGCCGGTAGCCATGTGGTTCCCAATAACAATTGGTTTGACTCTGGAGTGCAATGAGAAGCCCCACTGTCGTAAACTGGGGCAAATGAGTAATAAGAGCCATAGTCTAAGTATGTGTACGGTATAATTTTATTGCGTCGATCTTCTCGGTAGCCACCATTAGGAAGTAAATACAAACCTGAATACAAGTGACCTGCCTATATAAATAAATTGAAAAAAAAGAACTGCTGTGGTAACTTATATATCGAGAAAGTAATTACTATCTAAAAACTATTATCAAGCTCATTTTGCTTACAAGGAAAACCAGTTTCGCAGGCTTGAAAATAACCAGACAAGAAAGGCTAAACAATACTTCGAACAAAGCGTATCTAAATGATACAATATACATTTTAACTCAAGTCAGTGAACCGAAAAAAATGTGTTATACCTTTACAAGTTTTCACTGTCCCATTCAGTCTAGCAATCTATAAGCGACTGTCGACAGAAACCCGTTCATAAAATGGTCTTAAAATTATCACTATATCCACACCAATAAAACTATGAGAAGTTGCGGTCGAGTTTCCAAATACACAGTGGGTAAACTTTCAAGATAGTTTGGAGAACGGTTTCAGGAGGCTTGAGATATTTTTTGAACTCAAATCATTAGCACCCGAAGCGCGTACAATCGAAGCTGGAAACAGAAGAGTCGATAGTGAGAAGATGAGAGATATTAGGAACCTAAGGTATTTCAGTGTGTGCAAGGTTAGTGAATCTATAAGAACTTGTCTGAATTTGAACCGATAGTTTCACAGTAGTTGAGCGCCAAGTTAACGTAAGACATTAGGGAGGGAAATTGTATTTGTAATATCACAGGGATCGAACTTGAAATACATCTAACGTTTTTCTGGTCAATCTGGTCCAAGCTTTTTCAAGGAAATATAATCAAACATCAAGATCATCGAATATAGATAAGTACCTGGTCCTCCGACTAGCTGTAAACTAAACAGGTTATCTAGTCATGTTAACAATGTTGAAAGTAAGAATTTGCTATAGTATGAGACATTAGGTGTGAAAAGGAGAGTGTGTTAAGGTAACAGTTGTGTGTATTTGTAAGTAGATCTGGGAAAAAAACCATTGACTATAGGTCGCTTCTGGACAACGATTTTTAATGAAATCAGATAATTTTATGGATGATATGAGCCAAACATGTCACAGTACTGATAAAATAGTATCATTGCACTCAACAAAGTCCGGCCATACAATAAATTTTATTGATACAATTCTTCGAAAATGAATTAGTTCATACAAAAGAGACTAACAGCTGAAGCGTACACATGGGCAAATCTAAACACAATAATAAGAGAGGTGGAATACAATTAGCGGTCACGTGGCATTTATTTTTTATTTTGTTTTATTTGAACACATAAATATTGGTAGAAGAGGATACCAAATATATATGCGCCACACCATATTTGTGTGTGTGAACTATGATACTGCCCGGGTGCCCAGACCGAAGCAGGTGGTTTTCTTGGGGGGCCACACCCGGAGTCTTCGACCTGAAGGTCTGATCCACAAGGCAGCGGAGCATCGTGAGGAGATGGAGTCCCATGGTAGCCGGTGACCAATGATTGGTTCATACGCCATTTGTTCCCGCAGGATACTGGAGCCCATGTGCACGATTGATTTGGTTTGGGATCCGGTTAAAGCGCCGGACATTCGCTTTTCATCCTCATTTTCGTAAACAACACCCCTGCCACGAGAAGGCAGTGAGTAGGACTTCCCTGTCAGTGGCTGTATACGCGTGGCCGTGTGAGAGCATTTCGAGAGGGAGAGCGGACTCTCCCCACTCTCGACCGTACCAGGGCATTTGGGGGCGGTCACGTGGCAACTAATAAATACCCAGTAAACCTGAACTCCATACTGCATTTTACTCCACCTATTCTACCGTTTATGTGGATAATAACGATTACTTTCACCTGTTCTTATCAGTTAGTTTATCTGAATATATGATGAACGATCAAATTGATCAAAATAATAACAAACACTTATTTTATCGGTACTGTGACATGTTTGGCTCATATCATCCATAAAATTATCTGATTTCATTAAAAATCGTTGTCCAGAAGCGACCTATAGTCAATGATTTTTCCCCCAGATCTACTTACAAATACACACAACTGTTACCTTAACACACTCTCCTTTTCACACCTAATGTCTCATACTATAGCAAATTCTTACTTTCAACATTGTTAACATGACTAGATAACCTGTTTAGTTTACAGCTAGTCGGAGGACCAGGTACTTATCTATATTCGATGATCTTGATGTTTGATTATATTTCCTTGAAAAAGCTTGGACCAGATTGACCAGAAAAACGTTAGATGTATTTCAAGTTCGATCCCTGTGATATTACAAATACAATTTTCCTTCTTAATGTTAGCGAGTGTTGTTAGTATCAGGGTGGTTGTCATTCTTTGATTATCCGTGTGTAATGAAACTTCTTGAGGGACCTGAAAAGAGAACTGAGTTGGGGTGTTGGGATAGCGACTCTACAACCCAAAGCATAAATACTTGAAGATGGTCACAAATGACTCTTTATGATTAGTAATGGGTTAAATCTGTATTTTGAGGGCCTTATCGCCAGCAACGTAAATAAGAGAAAGGTAAGGTATGTTGCCTTTAATCTGGACTATTTCTAACTCCTTCCATAATCGAAAGGTGGAATGGCTGTTGAAGATTATTGTCTAAGGGAAACATCTCACTGTCTTCTCACCCCCGTAGATTTGGGAGCATAACTTCACTGTTTCTCGTATTACCGCCTATTGACTTGTTCAATAGGACCTAAAGGAACGAATTTCCCAGCCAACATACACCACCTGAGTCATCATGATCAGTCAGTCAGTCAGTAAAAACGTAGAACTTTGTACGTACGTACATCAGTTCGAGTTGCCACACCACATTAGCACAGAGATTCAGTTGACGATTCAAGTTTCACTACTTCATCAATTGATTTGCCATCCTTACCTAGTACCCGATCCCTAACAACTGTGTTACTTACTTGATGGTCCCATGATATACGAGCAATGTTTCGAAAACACCTATGATCGAATACTAGTAACCTACGAATATCCTCTACTCTTACAGGCCACGTTTCACTGCCATAAAGAAGGACGGAACGAACTGCTGCGCAGTAAACCCATCCTTTGGTTGATAGACGGATATCTCGCCTACGCCATAAATGACGCAAGTTGGCAAAAGCTAGTCGAGCCTTCTGTATCCGTGCTGAGATTTCGTCACACACCAGACCACGAGGGCGGATGAGACTTCCAAGATAAGTGAAGCGATCGATACACTCAATTACTTCACTCCCTATCATTAGTTCGGGTGTCGATGCAACCCAATCCTGAAGCAACATTTTGCATTTCGAGGGGGTAAATCTCATGCCGAACATGCTTGCATTGTTGCTTAGAGTGGTCAGAAGACTCTGCATTTTGTCAGCGTCTTCACCAAATAAAACTATGTCATCTGCATATTCTAAGTCAACAAGTGAACCTCCCGGTAGAAGTTCAACCCCTGGAAATTTAGATGAGGAGAGTGTTATCTCTAAAAGTACGTCGACCACAAAGTTGAACAAGAATGGGGAGAGTGGACAACCCTGACGAACACCACTTGAGGTAATCAATTCTGATGACAGTTCGCCATAAGCTCTTACTCTACCAGTTGTGTTCGAGTAGAGAGCCTTTATAAGGTTAATGTACTTCTTTGGTACTCCTTTCAGTGATGACAAACACTGCCATAGAACCTCACGATCAACAGAGTCGAATGCCGCCTTAAGCTCGAGAAATACTACCATTGTGGGGCGTCTGAATGTGTGTCTGTGTTCTAGAACCTGACGTAGTGTGAATATCTGATCTATACAACCACGTCCAGGTCGAAAACCAGCCTGATTTTCTCTAATCTGCTCTTCACGAGCTTTGATTAGGCGTCGAAGTATTATTGAAGCTAATATTTTAGACACTATATTAGTCAAACTGATTCCTCTGTGATTGTCACAGGAGGACTTTTGTCCTTTCTTATAGACTGGCACAATCAGTGATTGAGACCAGTCAGATGGGATTACGTCCAGTTCCCAAATTCTACCTAAGATCTCGGTTAATCTCATTGCTAATACTGGACCACTATCCTTAAAAATCTCAGGCGTAAACCTGTCAGGGCCTGCTGCTCTCCCTCGTTTCAGATTTCTTATGGCTTTTTCAACTTCGTAAAGGGACGGAGGACCTACATTAACTTCCCATTCAGGTTGACTAGAGATCGTGGGAAACCAAAGTGTGGCTGAAGGCCAGTTGAACTGATCCCTAAAGTGTTCTGCCCATCGATCTAATCTCCTGGATTGAGAATGAACAATATGTCCATCTTTCTCTGAGATTGTTTCGCTAACGGTCGGGTTCCTAATTCCGGTTTCCTTAACGAGTCTGAACAATTGTCTGCTATTACCTATTGCCGCTGCCTTTTCCATCTCTCTTGCTTTCGCTACCCACCACTGTTCGCGATCATTGCGTAGACTTCTTGTCAGCTTGCGCTTAAGCTGACTCCATTCTTCATTATGTTCAGAGCCAGGTGGAATGAGTTTCCGAGCATCTATCAGTGCGATAGATGCTGCTGAGATCCAGTGTTGCTCCCTAACCTTGTGGTTTACCTTACTAGCAGATATCACTGCTGTTTCCACAGCTTTTCGGATATCATTTTATGCTGCCTCAGGGTGGGCATCACATACATGGCTGCCTAACTGTTTTCCTAGTTGTTCCTGAAATATACTCTTAGCTTGACTATCATTAAGTAGGGCCCTAAGAGGTTTCCTTGCAGCGTCTTTCCTACGTCCAGTAAGACGCAAGCAAGCCCAACTGCCGTGCCGGGGTGATAGATATGGCAGGACAGGTTTGTCTAATATTTTATCAATGACTGTTGAATATAAATATTCTAAACAATGAACTTGAACGAACTGGGCTGATTTCCCACTTGAACCGGCAGTTTCCCAAAGGGGCACTAATCATTCACCTCATGAAAAACTTCTTCGATTCGCTCGATTGTAAAAACATATGAATCCCTTTTACTGAAAGAAATCTACAGCAAACGAATCATCCTGGGAAAAACTTCATATACATATGCCAGGTTTCCATCTAATGAACATAGAATGAATGTTTATTAGGAGGGGCACCTGGGAGAAACTCTACCCACATTGACTTGCTGGAATTCTACGGCTGAGAATTCAGGCATTTTGGCTAGTTTACAAAATATTAGAAATCAATAGACAATACCAACGGTTAAAATAAAGTACTTATCTATCGATAATATGTCAAATCCACTTCAGTAAAGATACTGTGATATTTACATTCACTCACGCAAAATAAGTACGAAAATACTTATCTGTTCAGCCTAAACCCAATAGTTGAGAAGTGGGTTCTGAAACCACCGGACAACCGCCACTTTACTTGTGATCACAGATATTACAAAATTACCGTAAATACTATGAAATAACATAATAGTCTGCTTAACTCGATACTTTATACTTAAAACTTAAATTTAGAAACTACGTGTAAAAGCTATATGATTATAGAACAAATCTTTTTTAACCGGCCTGACTACTCTGATTGCCTAGTATTCTTCGGACACTACTCGACTAGTCACCGAAATCAGAACACGGTTTGGACAGGTACGTAACTGTATTCCCAAAAACCCAGGTAGTGAATCACAATAAGGAAAACGTTAGTATATTTATAACCACCAGAAGATTCTAGATTCTTCTCCAATTATCCGCTAGCGCTGATTGGTTGAATGGCCTAATCAGAGTGCTTCCAAACTATTGTATAAATAAGGCACACAAATAAGTCTAACTCATCGATAAAAAGGTATTTAACCATGACTAAGATTCAAATCGATGAGCTACTCAAATTTGTACAGTTATATCCCACTTTTAAATCAGAGGTAACAAAATGAAAAGCTAATAAAGTGAGTACAAACCTCGTCCCCAATACTTTGAACTCGTTCTGTTTTACTGATAATACCATTATTATCTGGATTTAAAATGTTTAAATAGGTCTCCTTAGATATAATGTCATTATTATCCGATGTTTTGACTTGCGAGTTTCTATCAACTGTTACTCCACCGTCTGGTGGACGATTTAAAATAGCGACATAATTTACATTCAATGAACTAAACCAATCAATGGTTAGATTTAGCAAACGTTGAGCTTCATTATGAGCCATTGATTCAATTTGATAATATTGAAGAGCGCTATTGAGTAGTCCAGAAACATCTTTTTGAAACTCAGACAAGCTTTTGTAATATTTCTGGAAAAGTTGCTTTTCTATGTCCAGTAATCCAAATGGACATGAAGGCTACAAGTAACGTAGGAAATAATTTGAAAAGATTTTCACATGAGTTTGAAACATTGATACATTTATGGAACTTGATGAACAGCAGTAGAGAGAAAACAATTAAAACAGGTGGGAATGTAACAATATCTGCCCAGAATAAGACTAAACTAATACTACTCAAACAAAATAAATAAATAAATTCACTAAACTAGTTGAAAATTCATCTCAATGAATTATCAGCTCGTCTACACATTCCAGCACGAATTATCAACATGATTTGTCGAATTAAATAAAACTGCCCGAACGAAGTCTGTTCTGCACTACATCGTAGTCGAAACAGCCAATCAAAGGTTATAAACAATCGACTAGGTATTTTAAAAACAATACCTGTGTGCGATGAGATCACAGAGTTAACAACCTTAAGGACAGATCTAAGCAAAAGACAAGTCGGTCATTGAACCTGTACTGATTTATGTCACGAAGTATACGAGTTAATATACAGATCAATCTGATGTCACGTCGGCTTAGGCTGCAACAAAGCTAGATGTAAACTCAACCAATACGATACTAATGCGTAACCGTCGGTCTCATTCGTATGGAGAAATGAAGCGTGCTTACCAATGGTTTATGAGATGTAAGAAAACAAATGGCTGCAGATATTAGGTAGTACAAGCAATTATTTCCAAAAACAGTGAACGTACTACGTTTGTAACTTTTAGTTGTTGATGTCCATAAATGCAATTTAACAGTATTCGCACACGTGTATTCGACGTAGATTGAATTGAAATGGCGTTAATCCTTGGTAGTTTCGTTTTCTAGGACGGATGGTTTATTCGTGAAGCTTTAGTTATTCTGTCAAACGTCAGCACAAACTGCTGGTAAAGTAAGGTATTAGAATCTTCCCACATATGGCTGACATTTTGAACTGTTGATCATGAATCCAATTAGTTATTGCTGAAATTCAACCTGTTGTCTACATATTTTGCTTGGTTGCTTTAAATGGATTCGCATACCTCACTTCTATCTGAAATTTGTGCTAATGATGTTTTTCAGAAAACGTTCCACGATTAAACCATCTACTTCAGAGGACAAAACTATGCCAAAACCATTCACTCAAGGTACGAGTCTCCGCTGTCTCGTTGCGCTATGCAGCAAGTTTTTAGTATATTTGGTATATGACTAGCAGTGAAATCTAGTACGCATGTCTGGTCCTATCGAAGTTTATTATTATTCATTTAATTGAATACATAGATATTGGTACAACGGGACACCAGATACATATGCGCCACACAAGTCTCATTTGATTTTTGTGAGGGCTATGATACTGCCCGGGTGCCTAAACCGAAGCAGGTGTCCTATCAAAGGCTCGTCATCGAAAAGCCCCTCACGAACTACAATGACGTTCAAATAAAACAGCAGGCTAGAAAATCCATTTTTATTGCTACCTTATTCTTGAAACTAAACAGCCAATATTATGTTGTTTACTAATGACCCACAATAATTTTTTACTTTCGACGGACTACCGCCATGAAAGCAAGTCAATGAAAAACCAAAGACAATACCACTGTGAAGCTTTGAATATAAACTTTCCGGACAATGAATTTATCTGCTCCTGTGAATATTAATTGGCGTCCTCTTTAGACCAAAAAAAGACTACAACTTTCATTAGCAAAATCATTTAGGTTTTAGAATGACTTCAATTATCATAAAACTATTAAGTCTAGTCAACTACTTTTCCTAAAAACCTGTACACCAGAAACACTTCCAAGCCACACCAGAAAAGAGGGGAAGCTGTGAAACGTACCATATATTACCTGCAATAGTCAAATCATGATGTTAACTAAAAGCACTACTACTTATTGAGACCGTTCTCAAAATAAAGATAGCTCTCATTTCAAACATTACCAACTGATTTCAAGCACTAAAGAAATCCACCGAAATTGACGACTAGTCGAACTTTTTTCCTATGAATCGAATGGAAAGACTCACTTTGAGGTGTGGTAGTGGATAAAGAAAATAGCCATTGACATCTTGTTCCTTGAGAAGGTTAAGAAGTTCGAAGCAAACATCTAGTAATAATGCCTGCCTCTGAGATTCAGTGACACAAGAACTTTCACTTAATTCAGTTGACATTTGTTCCGAAGCATACAAATTTTGGTTTGAACAGTAATTGAGAGGTATGGGACATTTCATAATAGGAACAGAATTCATATCTGTTAGTGAACTATTGACTGATTCATGCAGAGACGAATGTGGTATGAGACCTGTGGAATCAAGGAGTGACTCCAAAGTTATATGAACTTGTCCGTACTTGTTAGTAAACTGTACATGTGAAGCATTAGCCATAACTACACAATTATTTCATAACTTGTTGCAGTCCGTAGAGTCCGTTAAAACAACAGACGAAGTAGTACAAATAGTCGCAGACGGAATAGAAAAAGCTATTATGTCTTGTATCATTGTGCTTAATGGAGTGCCTCAGGGTACACTCTTGTGGCCAGTGTTATTTCTTTTGTATGTAAATGACCTTCCTCGCCTAATATCACATGGGTCAAATGGTTGTGGACGGAATAGAAGAAGCTTTCGCTTAACAGGCTTCCGTGTCTAGTAGCAGGGGATCACCAAATCCTTCAGGCAGGAACCTAGTTATGTTAACAATAAAAGAGGAAAAAGAAATTGGTAAATCATAGTGTGATGCTGTCCTTGGTCCTTAAAAATAGGTCAAGTTGCATCTTCAAGGACTCCTGGGAAGTCGCTTGGACTAGCTCGGCCGTCAGCGAGTTCCAGCATTTGACAACTCTTAAGAAATAGAGGTTATGTCCACATTCCTTCTTGCTATGTTGTGTCTCCAGTTTCTGGGTGTTACCCCTTAGGTTAGTGTTCGAACCAAGCTTAAGTAGGTGTTTAAGGGGATGTCCAGAAGTGTTGAGAATATTATAGGCCATTAATAGATCACCTCTAAGACGCCTATACTCTAATGGGTTAAGGTCTAGTGATTGGGATGCCCGAAATGATTTCGTGGCTCGCCGTTGGATACGCTCCAGAGTGTCCTTATCCTTTTGGAGTGGGGGGGGAAAGTACTATGTTTTCATACTCTAAGCTGGGACGGATGAAACTATTGAAGATTATATGGAAAGTTCTTCCGTAGAATTGTCCAAAAATGCGCTTCAACGTTACCAGTGCAAGGTTTGCTCGGAAGGAATTTTTGTCACAGTAAGCGTAAGACTTTATATCATGGGGCACCAAGACTTCTAAATCTTTTTCGACTTGGGGTTTCCTAAGTTATAACAGTAGTCTGCGACATGTCGCAGATGGACTACTTTACACTTTGAAGTGTTAAAAACAAGTCCATTATTACCTGACCAACTTTAGAGTCGAGTCACATCCTCCTGAAGTGCCTGTATATCTCTTGATTGTGTATCTCTCTACAAAGAGTAACAATTCCGATGTTACCTGTTAAGGAAGATCATTTATATAGATCAAGAAGAGAAGAGGTCTAAGTACGGAGCCCTGGGTGACCTTACTAGGATATTCCATAGCCTCAGATAAAGTGAAATTAACACTAACCATAAAGTTTCGATTTTTCAGGTATGAAGATAGCCAATAAATTAGAGGTTGTCTGATACCTAGTCGTTTAAGCATATTGATAATACAAAAATAGTTAACCATATCAAAAGCTTTTGAGTATTCAAGGTAAATGATACCAACCTTTCTCTTGCGATCGAGGATGCTTGTCCATCTGTCCACCGTAATCAGCAGGAGCCAGCAATACCTGGGATGTCTTTGTTTCGCAACGACAGAAAAACAGGAATTGGGGGTGGAGTAGCCACATACATACGATCTTGTTTGGAGGTACACCAAGTCCACAATCGCGAGTTTAACAATCTTGAGGAATCCATATGGTGCTCTGTAAGATTGTCTGCTACTTTGAAGTGCCTAGTCGGAGTGATATATAGGAAGCCCACTGCCGACATCGAGTATGACAGTCGTATGCTAGAAAGACTACTCCGCTCTACGCGTCTAGGTTTCACTCATATCCTGATTCTAGGGAACTTCGATCTCCCTAGAGTCAATTTCGCCGAACATACGTATAGTGGAGGTGAAAACTCAACTGAAGCTCGGTTCTTCAACCTCATTGAGGATTTTGGATTAAACGAAAATGTAAAGTCGGCAACTCGTTGGAGAAACAGTCAGAAACCGTCGCACTTAGACTGTGTATTTACAAACGAAGAATTTCTAGTTGACAACCTCTCAATCTTGGCTTCCCTTAGGAAAAGCGATCACGCCGTTATAGACTTCAGTTTTGTCAGCAAAAGTGAGCTAAGATATCTCACCAACAACTTGCGCTGGAATTTCAAACGGTGGAATGTGTCAGCTCTACAGGACTATCTACAACAGGTGGATTGGGATTTTCACTCTCAACGCGATGTGGATACTCATTGGGACTTCTTACTGCACACGCTCTCGTGTGCTACAAAGCAGTCAGTTCCTCAAACGGTCCCCAAAAGCTGCAAGCCACCTACAATAATCAAGAACCGTACCCTTCGCCTGCTAGGCCGCAAAAAGCACTGTTGGGCGGAATACAAACGAACTGACAACAATAAAGCGTACAGGCAATATAAACATATAAGGAACATATGCACGTAGGCTATAAGAGAAGACAGGCTTCAGTACCAGACAAAGCTTATGAATAAATTTGTCTCTAATCCGAAAAGCTTATTCCGTTATGCAGCCTCTCTTTGTCAAGCCAAAACTGGAGTTTCCCAACTGATGGGTCTTAACAGCCCGACCAATAACGACGGCGACGCCGCTAACCCTTTGGCTGAACTATACTCTCAAACATCTCAACCGACCGACATCAACTTTACTGATGACAGTTTCATCTGCGATTCCATAGGACTCTCCGAAGTGAACCTAAGCGCTGACTTGGTGTTCCGTAAATTGCAGCACCTAGGATTAGAGATTTCTCCTAGCCTAGATATGGTCCATTCTGCCATACTGAAGGAAGCAGCCTCAATCCTGCCCATGCCGCTTAGCGTGATGTTCTCACACTCGCTAAGCCAAGGCAAACTACCGGAAAATTGGAATTTGGCTCATATCACACCAATTTTCAAAGGAGGTCGACGCAGCAAACTTTCAAGTTACCGACCGGTGGCTCTTCTCTCCGTACCTTCAAAGCTCATGGAGTCCCTGATATGCGACGGTTTATACGACTATCTACTGTCCTTAAATTTCTTCTCACCCCAACAGCATGGTTTCAGGAAGGGTTGCTATTGTATAACCAACCTGCTGATTACGGTGGACAGATGGACAAGCATCCTCGATCGCAAGAGAAAGGTTGGTATCATTTACCTTGTTTACTGAAAAGCTTTTGACGGGTTAACCATATATATATATATATGAAGAGCACCTGCAATCAGTTAACCTTTACCAGCAGAGTACACGCATTTCAAAGGTGACCTTCTGATGGCTTACAGTATACTTAACACTTCTGGACATCCGCTTAAACACCTACTTATACCTTGTCCCAATACCAACTTAAGGGTTAAGTTCCAACAACCATTTGAACCATTTGAAACAAAAGATTCTTCTGTTTTGTCAACAACCGTTCGAAATTTTTGAATGCGCCAAACATGAGTCAAGGGCACTGTGACGGGCTCGTGGCCGTATGTCATTATACTTAGGATTTACTGTCGTCATCCCACGATACATCTGATTGCTGTCAATCACTTTCAGGTAAGACCATACTATACGAACAACCTTGGGAGATTTTAAGGATAACCTCGAGATCGACTGATCAGAAATAGTAAGGCAGAATTCAGCTTTTGTGGAAAAGCTCTAAACTATAGAAAAACGATGAAAGTGCAAGCGATTTGAAGTTTTATCACAGTGAACAAATGTGTTAGGGTCAAATAAGAGTAATTTAGGCCAAAATCTGTCGTTATACAACCCTACCAGACCTTAATTCTCAGCCTTAAATTTCCCTAACTCTATTCTGATACTGCTAAACACTAGCATTCAACCATAATGCTATTCAGACTGACATACTAAGTAAAGGTTCACTCCACATGAAAGACCGTCCATTCATTTCAAAATACAAAATATGGTGAGAATCATGGGTCCCATCCACCAATTATCCACAACAGGGATTTTAAGTTCGTTCTAGTATTTAACACCGGTTTAGTTGATTCTAACTGGCATTAGGGCGATCGGCATAGTATGGTTTTATCCACTCATTAAAGTTAAGTCCATTCTGTGTGGGTACTAATTCGATGACTTACCTTTTTTCTTGTTCTATTTCTATCCAACTTTTGTCGTCCACGCTGCTTTGCACCCCCGTAGCACCCGAAGTACCTGCAAGCTAAAAGTGAGCCGTTACAGATACGATGGCAGTAAGCTAATTTTATTTGTCACAGTGTTTAGACTGCTCTTGGAGTTGTACTTGATGTAGGAATTCATATGAATCCTAATTTCAGAGAAGCTGTTGAGTGCGTAAGGCTGTTATTGGAAAAGAAAGTAAGTCCAAAAGATTGCCGTCAACCTGTCATATTTTATCTAGTTTTTCGCCGAATCAAAAGATGAAGTTGCACTTATTCTCTGCGGCTCTGATGCTACTGACAATCCTTTAGCTGATGAAGAAGGAAGTTTTCAAAATATATGTTTGGCTTTTGAACTCGCTCCTATAAGTTGGAAGGTCTTGGAATTTCTAGACCCAGATTTACTATCACTCTCGACAGGAGATGGTACTGTTTAATGAATTTAATAGTTATATATAGTTGTTGATGCACTAATGGTAGGCGCTGACCACTTGTTTAATCGTTGCAAGTAATCATAATTCATTTGTATTCCCAACTCTCAGGGATAAAAGAAACATAAAAGAAAAGCACTTGTTGCTTGTCAGCAATTTATATGGTTCGATTGACGATTCTGATGTCTCCAGGGTATCTGAAAGCCTCCAGTCTTCAGGTATTAAATTCAGCTTGATTGGTTGTGACTTGAAGAAGAGTATTAATATCTCACCTGAAAACCGAGATGAACCTGGGCCATCTCATGCCATTTCTCATCACCATCATCCTTCACCAAAAACTAGTCCCTCCATTTCTTTTTTAGCTGAACTCTGGGATCAACTAAACGGAGAATCATATGATTTTAGGTAGGTTAGTAGCGCTATTTGTCTTATTTGAACCTAATAATTGTTTAGTCCTAGATATTTACATACTAAACTTTGTGTTTAGCGGAACCATTCCGTCGTAAGTGATGAGGTTAGGCACATTATTCTAGAAAGGTTTAATTAAACAATCGGATTATGAACTTGTAGCTACTCAGATTGTTTGGTCATGAAAAAATGTGTAGAAAATCGCTGTTTATTTCGACGTAGGATGTTTGTCGAAGCAAGATTAGGTTGGACAGTAGCATAAAAAACACCATATCAGCCTATAAATCTGTTAGTTGTTCATTCGAGTTTCCCATTTTTTAGACCTTTTGAATAACGCCTTCGGAGTAGCAAAAATCAGTCGGCGGGAATCCCGCATAGTAGTGCGTCTCAAAATGAATCACAGTGGCACAAATTTTCCTCTTTTAAATTTTGAAAACTATTGAATATCCCTGTACTTTCTAGATTTTTCACATAAGTTGCGTCTACCATTCTAATTAATGTGAAAGCACGAAATTATCAAAGCTCATGAGCATTCAACTGAGATATGAGGGTATAACAGTTCAAGGGTATTAGTGAAGTGTTGCATAATCTGTTTCTCAAAAATAAATAGAGTGATGCTTTCATGAGTCCCAAACAGATCAGTGTAATCCTCCAATCATCACGAGAAGCAGAAGTAACTAAAATAATGATTTATCAAAACTTAGTATTAAAGCAATCAACAGTGTTGAGTGGTCTTGATAGTGCGAATCATAACGAAATCTGTGAATTTCGAAATTTCCTAGCTATTTCATTTTGTCGATCAGAAAAAAAGTTGAATTTATCTTCGGAAAAAGTTATGGGAGGTCTTTTCATTTGATTCATTTGGTAAAGACATACCAAACACTGCTTCAAGTAGTCTTCACCGACTCTTCGTCTACGTAAGGTTATGTTGAGTAATTGGATTATAATAAAGCTCGTAATACAAAATTCTACTGCAGCGTTAAGATTAAGAAATATAAATCAAGTGATCGATACCCAAGTACTTTACTCTCGATTGTTAATTCAGTTTGCATGAACTAATCGTTAAGCAACATTTATCTAGATGAAGAAGAAAGCACTCCAAACATGCTTGTATCGTTTTCAAAGGCTGTCATAAGACTATGTTATGTCAGCGTTTTCACTAAACAACTGTATCATGTGCATATTTTAAGCAAACCAGTGAACCTCCCGGTAAGAGATCAATTCCTAAAATGTAAGACGAGACCGTTATCCCTAAAAGGATGTGTTTGACAAATTTAGATAAAAATGGGAAAGGCAGATAAGTTTGAGGACACATTCTACAGTTACCAATTTCGATAACAATTAACCATACGCTATTACTCGACAAGTATCATTTAAGTAGTGTACAAGGTTAATGTACTTTCAATGATATACCCTTCAATAAAACCTATTTATCAACACAAAAGAACGCTGCCTTTAGGTCAAAATACAACGATAGTTGAACGGCGGTAGGCATATTTGTGCTTGGAGATCTGACGAATGGTGAATATTTGGTCTACATCTAAGTCTGAGGTCAGCCTAGTTTTCCAGAGTTTGCTTTTCGCGAGCCCCATTTAAGCTCTAGATGATTATGGAGGGTGGTACTTTAGGCACTATATTAGTCTAACTGGTCGTTCTGTGATTATCACCAGGATTTTTTGTCTTTCTATAAACTAAAACGGTCAGTGATCAAGACCTGTGAGGTGAGATTACGTCATGTTTCCAGACTATAGCTAATTTCTCATCCAATCTAGTAACTGAAACTGGACCACCATGCTTAAGCCATTTGGTCGGAGACGTGTGTGCGTGATTGATTCATCTATGAATTGTCAGACGATTCCCTAACGCCACGAAAGGAATTCAGTTGTTGACTCCGTTATGAAGTAGCTTGAATAATTAATTATTCAATCTTCGCTCAATATGTAAAACCCTGCCTTCTCTTTACGGTAAGAATACCTTAACTTCGACAGTTCTAGTTTAAGCTCATATATTGGCTAGAATTTTTTGTAGTCCCTTCAGTATTTGGTGTAGTGTGTATATATTGAGACAAACCTCTACTAAATGTTTTTATTTTTGTTCTCTTAAGCGATGCAGTCACTGCATTGAGTATATTCGAAACCCGTAGCGTTTCGCAACGTGGTTGGAATGTAGGTTTGCAAATTGGCGATTCGATCACTATCCCAGTTGTCGGCTATACACATATAAAGGAGGCTCATCCACCAACTATGAAGATACTGTACGCCCCAGATCCTTCTCTTCCACTGCGCGCTGTTACAAAATATTGTACACAAGATGCAGATCCTTCCGATTTAAACTCTTCTGAAGTTACTCGAGGTAAGAATTCTACAAAAGGAATTTATGGTAAACGTTGTGAAGTTAAAATAATGATTTCTGTAAAATGTTCACAATGTTTAATGTCGAATAATACTTAACTTAAAATGTTCTCGAAAACTTAAGCTTAGTTACAATTCTTTAATCATATATCAATCTGAATAAACTATATAACACGTACTAGAAGTTCCGTAATAAGTTTAATTTTTACTATCCTGGTATATAACCAGCTTAATATAAACAGAATCTTTGGGTACAAGGGGCTATTGGAACGTCCAGAGTTACATGTTTGTTTTTCGGACAATAGACAGAAGTGTGGAAATAATACTACTTCTACAGGTATTTAAAGCAAAAAGATATTCGAAATTTAATATTGTGATTGTGACAGCGCATCTGAACTACTAATTCGGCCACTCTATCTGTGTGATGTATAATCCTCTCTATTGATTAAGCAAGAATTATTAGTAGGGATTAAACATCGTTGTTAATATACAGAACAATCTAAAGACTAACGGTAGTTCTATATGTTGTTGATTTATATTGATATGTCTAAACATTCGACACATTTTCAAGTAGATATATATCCAGCTGCGATTTTTGCCTAATTAATGAGTATCATTTTTGATTTAAGAGAATGAAAACTGGAGGTCGCTTGTTGAGCATCCAACCTGTCAATCAACTTGTGAACTTATCTACTGATGGCTGTCCCCAAATGCCCTGGTACGGCCGAGAGTGGGGAGAGTGCTCTCTCTCTCGAAATGCTCCCACATGGCCACGCGTATATAGCCTCTGCCACGGAAGTCCTATTCACTGCCTTCTCGTGGCAGGGGTGTTGTTTACGAAGTTGAGAGGACGGAACGCGAATGTCCGGCGCTTTAACCGGGTTGGTGAACATGGGGAGTCCACCTAGGGGGTTGGAAAACCCTGATTCCAAACCAATGGTGCACATGGTCTCCAGTATCCTGCGGGAACAAGTGGCGTATGAACCAATCGTTGGTCACCGGCTTCCATGGGACTGCATTTCCTTACGATGCTCCACTGCCTTGTGGATCAGACCTTCAGGTCGAAGACTCCGGGTGTGGCCCCCCAAGAAAACCACCTGCTTGGGCACCCGGGCAGTATCACAGCCCTCACACATAACAAATGAGATTTATGTGGCGGATATGTATTTGGGACCTCCTCTTACCACTTTCTATGTGTTAAAATAAATAAATAAACTGATGGATTCGTCAGACCATTAAACTTCAGGATACTGATTCGTCTTCTAGTTTCCAAGTAATTACGTCCTAGATATGTTTGTCCCACAACTTTGTGTTCTTCGATTATCTTACTGTTTGCAATAAAGGTTACCGGTATGGTGGGACTGTAGTCCCCTTTGGTGAAGAAGATATGGCCTCCATAAAACCCACTTCAGAAAAGTGTTTCAGCGTTATTGGATTTACGAGTGCTGACAATGTGAGTCTCCCATATCTACTCTCTTTTACGTGTACTTTCTAGGTATTTTTTGTTTCATGAAGTGAGTTGCATCCATTTTATGTAGACTTTTGAAAATGAATATTGGCTATTTATTTCCAGTAAGTTTCAATATATGGTAATGACATTCTTAAAATATCAATATATTTATTTGATTTATTATTTGAACACATAAATATTGGTACAAGAGTGCGCCAAATATATGTGCGCCACACAAAACAATGAGAATTTAAGGAGAAGGAAAAAGAAAAAAAGGTAAGGAGCGTAAAAAAAGAACGATAACGAAGAGATTGGTGTAAGGTAGTTTAATAATAATAATAATAATGGTAATAATGGAGGAACGGAAAGGTACAATCAGAGGAAATCTTTCAGTTAAGGAAAATACAACCACTTTTTACAAAGAAAGTAAAAGAAGGTTGCAGCAGGATCGCCACTGGCTTCTATTCTGGGCCATATCTGATAACGTCTCTAGCCACTGTGTAGTACCATCTCTCGGACCCCAACCAGGGAGTCGTGAAGGACCAACACAATCCAGTCCTTTGCAGCTTTCTTTCATGCCACGACACCATGTCGTATACTGACCACCTCTCCGCTTTTTCCAACCAGTCCCAACGTCGGCAAATAATGCACGACGTGGAATTCTCTGGGACGATATTCGTAGAACATGTCCAAGCCATCGAAGTCGGTGTTTCAAGATGGTGACACCGATTGCATTATCGTCTCTGTGCCCGAACACACGATGCCGAACCTCTGCATTACTGACATGGTGTTGCCACTGAATGTCAGCGATCCTTCGGAGACAACGGTGATCGGACACAGAGAGTCGTCTAACGTCCTCAACTCGGAGAGGCGAGGTTTCACAGGCATAGAGCAAAACTGCTCTCACCGACCCGCTGTAGATCCGACCTTTTACAGCCAGACTAAAATCACGAAGGCGCCAAAGATGGCCCAGATTGGCATAAGCCGTTCTGGCTTTCACTATACGTGCATTGATCTCATCACTCACACCCCCACCAGCACTTATGCAGCTACCCAGATACACGAACTTCTCGACTACTTCTATCTGTTCACTATCTAGAGTGAGTACAGGATTAGAATCCTGCCAGTCTTGTAGAAGTGCTTTGCACTTCGAAGGTGCAAAGCAAATACCATACTTACGGACACTGATTGCCAACTGATTAAGTGCGGATTGCATCGCTTGGGCATTATCGCACAGTAAGACAATATCGTCCGCATACTCAAAGTCGAGAAGTCTTTCTCCAGGCAACAGATCTACACCACCATTACTTACATCCATCAGAGCTGTTTCCAGAATGTCGTCGATGGCAAAGTCGAAGAGGAATGGTGAGATTGGGCAACCCTGTCTAACCCGACTGCTCGAATGGAAAAATGGAGAAAGGTGATTGTTTATAGTCATTAAAGAGAATCGCTGTAAGGTATAGTATACGCAGTCTACTATGTGCTGTTCTATGATTGTGATTCATGACCTCTTTGGACGGATACATGTATTAATTAAAGCCATTTTATCATGGGTATCTTCCCACTATTGCACGCGGGGTAAGGTATGTAATTATAGGCAAATAGACTGTCAGTTAATGAAACTGTTTGCCTATATTTATCTACGTAACTTAAGTATGTGTTTATCTTCATTCTCATTCGTCCTTGACCAGATCCCTCATAACCTTTACACTGGTGAAAGTGTGTTGGTTTTTGTTGCCCAGTCAGTCAAACAATCTGAAGATGATGTAACCAATCGCCCATCCTGTTCAACAGCTTTGGCAGCGTTGGCTCAAGCTCTTTATGAGATTAGTGGTGTTGCTCTTGTCCGGAGAGTGTACAATCAGACAAGTGCCGTTAGACTAGGAGTTTTAACTCCAGAGTAAGCGATAACTGGTTTTTCATGTGCTTGTTTGTCTGTAAATTTCTGTTTACTTTCACGACAAGATGTTAAACAAGTGGTTTTATTCTAGCTAACAGTTTCAAAAACAGATGTAACTATAGCTTTCGCTAATAAGCATACTGACTACAATGTTATCAGCTATTCACTGCGGGGCTATGTTTCCCTCAGTTGTGATAGTGTTAGTGTAGATGCATGTATCCGGTCATTTATTACAGAAGTGATTATTTGTTGTTATTCTAAGTTAGTTTGGGTTTAATTCACAATCATCAGTTGTTATACGAAAATAAAAATGCATCGTGATTTTTCGTTATCATGTACTTACAAAGTCAAAAAATCCAATGGAATACTATTACCATTTAAAATGTTGTTCGATTGACCTTTTAGAATTCATGGTGATCAGATATCGCTCATGTATACTGATATGGCGTTTAGTGAAGATATTCGCAATCTGAAACTTCCAAGTTTACCAGTTTCCTGTGAGCCTTCTACTTCCAATACGGAATGTTCTGTTAAGTCTTCAAACACTATGAAATTGCGTAAAGATTGCCCATCTCAGGAACAGTTATCAGTTATGGATTCTTTTATTAACTCCATGATGTTGAATTATTCAGATGAAAGTGATGATGATGATGGTGGTGGTGGTGAACTCAACAAGAAAGACGAAAACGACGTGGAAAATCCTTCATCAAACAGGATGTGAGCAGTGATTTTACATATGATTTTATTAACTTTCAAATTAGCTACAGATCATAAGATTTCTCTAGTTTTCTTGTATACTTTAACTTCCACATATTTGTTTACGAATAATCAAATAAAGAAGTTTAAGCAGTTGTGATTTGATTGAGTGGGTTACATATTAACATACAGTAATTCCAAAACACATTTCAGCATGTTTTGTATTTAGTGTAATGTATAGTGGTTAAAACTATGAATATTATTGACTATAATCTTAACACTAAGAAGTTCTCCTAACCTTTTTTTATCCTATAGTTGATCCTTTCGCTTTGTACAGTTCATTTTGACACAGCAACTTCTTTAGTTCCTCGTAGTTTTTTTCATTTTGCAGACGTAGTGAGGTTCAGAAAGGTTATTACGTAACATGACCTGTACAACAAATATGCATTATTCAATAACAAAAACAGTGAATAAGATTTATCTTTCAGTTGGCAGTCATTTATTTGTTTTTAACTCTTGTCATCAAGTATTTCTTAAGATACCTTCAGTCTTTATGGCCCTAAGTAGTTTTTTCATACTTTCATCACTTCACTATCATTATACTCAGTACATTTAATCAATGTAATGAACACATTCTAGTCAATGACAAACTAGTTCGATTTCTCCTTGAATTCACATCTTAAGCACTATGTTTAGGGAAATTTGGTCTGACAGTTTCATTGAAAACAAAGGTCAGCAACGTATAAAACGGTCTGTGATTAATTTACTGCAGTGGATTTATTGGTAGATGTTCTAAATCATTTCATCTAAACTTATATAAATGAATTATTGTCTTTGTGTACTTTGTTTTATGATCTACAGTATTCTAAGCATCTTGTAACAGTTGACCATTCATTTATTTGTTTCATATTTAATCGGACAATTATTCAATAATCAGATTCATGTACTGTGTAGTCGGTTTTTACAAATATTCGAAAGATGGATGTGAAATTACTTGAATACTTACTAAACTATATTGGCGCTAAGTTTTCTCTTTAATATAAATATAATTTTCCACTTTTGTAATTTCTAAATTAGATTTTAAATAATCTGATTTCTGTTATCATCAGTTATGCACATTGATTCTCTGTATCTTCAGTTCCATGTATTATGGGTTGCCGTGTTATTTAAGTGTGGAAGCAATATCGAGATCACACTCTTTTTTAACTATATTCCGTTTCTTTAGCTCAAAATTAATAGTTTTCCACACCGAAATGCAAGCTATCAACCATGTTCTATGATACAAATTTTTTGTAATTATGAATTAGTGTTGTAGTACATGTTGGTTTACCTGATCTGCTATCAAATATGTATATACAAATCCATATATACTGCTACTACCACCGATAATATTTATGTTAATAGTGACATGTCTATTGGATATTGACCATTATGATGTTTTAACTTTTCTTTAACACACCACACAAATTCAAGTTAAACTTACCAAGTATATTATACTGTGTAGCTGTAAAGCGTCAATGTTTTTCGTAGTCTAAAAATAAATATTTGCCCGTAGACAGTAAAGCGTAAGATACTTTTTCTTCTATTAACTTACCGCTTTATTATTTTTGCGTAAATTCAGCTTAAAAGTTCAACGGATATCAAACCCTTGGATTCAACGTTTCTTTGCCTGCCTTAGAAAACGGGGTCTTAATCCATCAGTACCACTTCCAATTTCAAAGCAATCAAATTCTTCTGATGTTTGGCTGTCACCTGAAATGTTTCCTGGTTTGGAGGAAATCATCACACAAATCAATACTAATTCCGAGACTGCATCTGTAATTGAATCCCGTAATGTTCTTCTTAATTCATTTCCACCTCTTCGTCCTGCTAGTGATCCAGTCGATTTGACAGAAGAATTTTTGGCGAAAAGACGGCGTTTAGCGGATGAAGAACTTTATGCTACTTCCTCGTTCACGAAAGAAATAGACAGTGAATATCCAAGCGAACAACTGACTGCAAGTTCGGAATTAACTAGCAAATCATTGCTTCAAAACACACTGGCATCAAATTCCATTCAAATAAACTCAGTTCAAGATTTTGAAGACCTAATCTCCCAACAACAAATTGAAGTTGGTATGTTTCATATGATGAAATTTTTCATGTAGCATTACAGTGATCATTATTGACATTATTTAAAGATCTCGTTAAACTACACTGTCTCGCGTAAAAATGTCCACTTTTCGTTTTTCATCATTTATTATGCCTTTTTGTTGTTGTATCGTATATGGGTTCATAGATGAGATAGCTACAATGGGCTTTTGTTTCTACTTATATCCTGCCTGTCCACTTTTCGTTCTTTTTGTGAGTACGTTGTTTAAAGGAAAATTCATTGGAGTATCCTCACATTTTGGATTAGAAGAAAAGCTACTGACATACCACATAATTTTTACTTTAAATTAAGTTGGCAAGTTAGCAAAGATTTTACCAATGAATAAATAAAATATAAGAACTTGTTATTCCGAAATGAAGCTGTCCCTCATTATGCACGAACTACAAGTTCTAGTCGACTAGCCATGGTCTTAAACTTAATACTACTAATCGATCCTATGACATTTTACTGTAGTATATACTAGGTTGTTTAACAATGATGATGTTGATGCTAAGAATTATTTCAGAACATTATTCACGGTGTGATGTTACTCGACTCTATCTGTTAAGTGCGATCTTTCTTACATACTTTCTGTAATAATTTACAAGCCCATCATATGTGATGGTTTTTAAAATAGTACGAAAGGCAAATAAGTCGTCGAGAGTCTGCTAGGAGCCGTGTTACTGCTACATGTGCCTGGTTGCGCCATATATAGATAACTAACCTGTTGTTAGCAGTCCTGCTGTATCCTGTCACTGTTTCCTCCTCTGTACTCAAGTTTAAGTGATTGCATCTATATGATGTTATCTGAGCGAATAATGACAGTAGACCGTGTAAAAGAACAGTTATTAACATGATGAGCCTTCCTGCGTTGTAAGCATTACAGCCTCGAGACGAACTCATGTAACTTCATTGTGATCACTCATCGTCAAATGTAGAGGAGGAAGAAAAACAGTATAAACAAAGCTCCCTTCTCTAGGAAAAGCGTTGATAGTTTTTCAATCGACAGGACTTGGATTGATCACAACAGAAGTCAAAGCAATGCTTCAGGTTTCTGTTATGCAATCGTCAGTGAGTTCTAGTGAGGACCCAAAGCGTGTGAAAATGAACCCATCACCCATGTTATAGACTTTATGGTGCCTAATATGTTCCTGAAATTTTGGCAGCAGTTTGGGATAATCTACGATCTATTGTTTTTTAATATTTTATTTCGTAACAGAAATACCTTGGATTTTATAGGTAATCATCGCTTCGCATAGTTTTTACAGAATACAGTTTTAGTATAACAATAATAAATAAAGTCTTAATTTATTAAATGTAGAATAAATTTCCAATGTACAAAAATTGTTAGCTTCATCATAATTTTTATCTTCCGACCTAAGTACTTTTCAGTTTAAAAAACGTCTGGTTAGAAAGAATAATAAACTGTATTTATTTATTTTTTAATACTTAAGTAAAAAACTAATTAGAGACATCTACTTCATGAACATAAGAAAGAAATTTACATAAGTTCGGCTTAGTACCTCAGTAGACCTAATGTCACATCACCAATGTTTGTTTGGTATTTTCTATGAAAGTCTATTACCAGTTATGTTTTGGAACTAAGGTTTATTCTAGTACTTGAATTTATTAAACTACTCACTTTGCATGATTTAGCCTGTAGACTTTTGGAGAAAGAAATAATTCAACTGGTGACTGATCCTTTCACTGCAACTTTATTACGTCCAAAAGCTATCGCTTACCTGTTCGCTTATCGTAAGCATGCTCAACCAAGTAGAGAAATCGTCAATAATAGTAATGAAAACAATCATATTAATGATGCTACATCCAACAGCAGCACATATCATCTCGAAATTGCTCGAGCATATAACTCATTTATTCGTAGTTGGCGCCAGGATCTTATCGATCGTAATCTTCTCGGAGGTAATGTCTCATCTCAACGTGCTGCTAATGATAGCAAGTTGTCGTTTTGGCTGGAAACAATTACACAAGGTATTTAAATGTATATTGTCTATACCAATTTATTTTCTTCGTATTTGAGATGAAAACTGTATATAAACAGGATAAAAAGGCCAGTATGCACCTGTATACATGTGACCACAAGAAAAAACTTGTTATAAAATGATAGGGAAGATTTGTATTGCATTTTATGAGCTGGCAGTTTAATTGAGAGATTTTTATTGTTGTTCTGGATAACATCATCAGCTCTTAAATCATGTAAAAGTGAGCTTATTTTTTTATTAACGACTATAGACTTGTCTGCAAGAGCCTCATTCCTACAGTTGAAAAACACATAGAACTCAAAACAACTGTCAGCCAATATCAAAGTCATAATCTTCAATACGAACGTCAATACAGTTCTACTGTCCGGAGCAGAAACTTGGAAAACTACTACAATCATCATAAAAAGTAGAAGTATTTGTAAACAATTGTCTACATAAGATACACAATGTCCGTTTGCCGGATACCATCAACAGCAGCCTACTACGAAAGACAACAGACCAGCTTCCAGATGAAGAGAAAATTAGGAAAAGACGATGGAAGTGAATAAGACATACATTGCGGAAGTCATCAAACTGCATGACGAGGCAAGCCCTAACTTGGAATTCTGAAGGGAATAGGAAAAGAGGATTGCCAAGGAAAACATTGTACCAAGAATCAGAAGCAGATATCAAAAGGATGAATAGCAACTGGAACGAAATGTCTAGGACAGAATTCGATGGAGGACGCCGGTGGGCGGTTTATGCTCCTCCACGAGGGGTAACTGGCGTAAGTAGTAGATTTATCTATCTCATCTCCAGAAGGTAGACGGAATACTTAAAAAGATATATCGATTAACTTGTAATGTATTAGATTCTTTATAATATATCCTCTTCAAATGCATAGGTTTCGGTCTTTTGTGCAATGACGATATCCCGGGAATCGGTGTTACTCATTCAGAAAGTCGTAAGTTTTTGAACTTGGAAGATATTACAATACCTCATTTTGTTGAAACAAAAGATAATCAGCCTGTATCGCCCAATTGTGTTCTCAAAGTTGAGCATTTGGTAAGTGTTATCCATTTTTATGCTGCTTGTCATTTGAACTTTTCAGACATTGATAGACTTCTTGGTTTTTAATGTTGAAAGGAAAATGAACTTCCGATCGTTGTTGCTTTACTTATGGATTCTAACCAACGAACAACTTAGGTAAACGACTTTCAGGCGATTAAATCCAACCACGTAACATCAAAACGAAGTGTACTCTAATGTTAATCTATTTTCCGTAATGTCCATATCACAACTTAATCTTTAGTATTCTTTCATCATTATGGACTAAATACCATGACATTGGTTATTACTCAGTGAGTAACTGTTGTAAATGTCTACAACATTTATTAATGTATTATCCAGAATTATTAAAGTTAACAAATAGTGAAATTTTTGAGCATTCTATACTTCTTGACTTTTTTTAGCAAGAAGTCTTTTAGTGTGTTATTTATTCCATATAACGTATAAATTGATAATATCTTTTAACCAAACAGATCAGAATGAATACACGGGCATCATTTTTATACACCAACTATAGAGTTAGTTCCTTAATATTTTTAACTCACAAGCACATAGTTATTTGTCATCATCCACTATAACGATTTACTTATATACTTAATTTTCCAAATTAATATCACTATCCGAGCAAACTGTCGAGAAATTCATTTCAATAAATTAACTATTCATTCTACAATAGTCAGCTTGTTACATTACAACCAATGAATAAATTATAATAACAACTATCATTTAAACGTTAATTGACAAAATTGCATATATCGTGCCATAATAATGTGCTCATAAATAGATTGTTGTGGATTATAATCTTTTCTCTTCAACTGAAAAAAAGTACTTAATATTTAATGAAGTGTACATTAGCATGTTTTAACTTGTTAATAAGTTGTTTAATTGAACATACATTATACTACGTTCTTTTTTCTTTATTTTAGATGGATGACACAGATTGAAATTTTCCGTAATTATTATTGCTGTTGTTGTCGTTGTTTATGTCTAGTTGCTTACCATCACACATATTATGGATGACCTATTTTCTTGATCATATCCGTCATAATTTGTAATCTATTTTCTTTCCTTCATAAAAGTTTTATATTATTGATTGTATATATATATATATATATATATATATATATATATATATATATATATATATATATATATATATATATATATAGGGAGAGAGAGAGAGAGAGAGTAGTTACAGAATTAAATACATATTTTTCAAAAAATTAAAATAATTTTTTTGTTTTATCAGGATACCAAATAGAGAAATTTATATCTAACTATCTGGTTGTTGTTAAGACAGAAGAAAAAAAAAGATTTTTCATTTTAGCATGCTATGTGAATTTTTTTGTGTTAAAAATAAACATTTCTCACATTTTCGTGTTGTTTAAATATAATTAATAATAATGAAACATTTAAGAGATGAAATTTCTAACCAAATAGTATCAAGTAATAGTTTGGAGGTTAGAAAATTCAGGTTCTAACCATTTAGTTAGAACTTTAAATGTTTACCTGTTTAATTCAGTTTTTGCAACCTGGTGATATTACTAGCCCTCATACATAAGATGTAGTTTAAAGCCTATTACACATATATGTAGTTAGTAAATGTGGTGTATTAGTGGAGCATTTTAAGCGTTCATAACTTCATTAAATGTGAGTTGATTACGAATGAACACTATCATTTGACAGTAAGTCATTTACTGTCGAATTTGACCAATTTTAATTGATGGTATTCTGTTCAGCTGTACATATATTCCTACCAACAGGTATTTTCTCTAGTTTGCAATTTCCACTCTTCATTTGGATTTTCTTATTTGTATGAACATGTATTACCATTACAGGTTGGTTAGAGGTAGTTTATAGGAATCCCTGTCGACTATACTTATTTTAAATCTCAACATATTGTACGCGATATCGAGTCACATAGACTGGTGGCTAGATTACAACTTGATAGGTAGAATTCCATCAGCATTGGAAAAAACCTGATATACATGACATCGACCATTACTTAGTAATTCATTGACTGTAATTGAAGGTAGAAGGCATTGTATAATTGGGTTTTACACGCATTAAAATCATTGTTTGCTTGTGATGTAAGCATAGAGTAATCTTGACGTTAAGGGTATGGTTTCGTATTGACGGACTGATTGTCTTAATTAATTCAGTGTATCATCTGTCTGGTAGATCAGTCAAGATAAAAATTAGTTCCAATTAGTTATACTACTAGAAGTAGTCTAATTACTTTTTGTGTAGCTTTAAAAGCTGTTGCATTAAATGGTTTTCGTCAAGTAAGAACGTAATTGTGAGTATTAACTATGTAAACCTTACAAATAGAGATATGCATTATGTGTATCTGCTCTGCATGTAACAATTAAGAAGATGGTATACCTTAAAAGCTACATTAAAATTAGACGATCCCACATATGAACATGTTTATTCATCAGATATCAACTGAAATAACAATAGCGTGGTAAAGGTGTGGTGAACGCTACTTATGTTGAAAAACATAAGCAGTATGTAACACCAGAAGTAAAATGCTTGTCAAAAGAAGATTGAACAGAATAAAGGAATGGGAACAAAAATAATTGGAAGAATTATGAAGGAAGTAAAAGGAGAACTAAAGGTGTACAGATGATGTATGATTTTCACATTTTACTAAACCACTGTGTGAATGTCCATTAGACAATAAATTGGTCTTTCCCACTTAAGTGATGACTCACTACAAAAGCAGCTAGATAGGGTATTGAAATATCGGATGAGGAACTCACATCAGGAAGATGTATGCCTATAAAAGGGCAGAGAAGATCGCACCATAAAGTGGTTCGATACTCCAATTGTCAAATGAAGTTACGTAATAATCAAGTGTTAGACAAGAGTAGAAGGATGAAAATAATTTACGGGTCAAAATTATGGGAGATAATTATCAGCTTAGGTTAATGATTTCGTCGAAAAGAAAATTTTCTGAATCCTTTATTTTTATCCAATGACACAATGGGTTACCTTAAATCCCATTTATGTAGTTTCCCTCATCAAGCTCAAATATCTTAACATGGGAAGCTTGTGGATACTTTCCAAGTTGTGGTTTGCATATGTGTCTGACATTAGATAATTATCAAAAACCAGGAAGCTGTCCGTTTTATAAACTGAACAGTCTTCATAAACTTGGGCTAACAATAACCAAGCGCTAATTTGAGTGGAACTTTCAGTTTAAGTGATAAGCTGTGACCTAGGCCATGAGTTGGACATCTGTTTTTCAAATCTCAGTACTGATATTTCCTTAATCTCGAAATTCAAAAAATACAAGAGAATAGTCCACAGCAAGTAGAAGACTATGATTTTATTTTGCTTTCCACTTACTATGGGAAATTATCCGTTTAATTCTTAGTTAACAAATACATTAATGAATAAACTTTCCTTGATAAACACATCTAATGTATAGACCCGTAATTAAGTTAGCAATCAAAAGTATTCTATTCTGATGGCGGTTTTCTCATGTGTCCGGAAGTATCAGGGCTTTTATTCCTTTTCCATACTTATTTAGTGAAGGGGTGAGTTTTATGGCTAAACAAAGAGTAACTTTGTGACAGAAACAACTAATGTGTGTATTGAAAACACAAATAAGTTTTTTAACTGAATGCTAAAGCATAGGATATAAGTATATATCTTTTATATTCAACTCTAACAATGAAAATAAATTTAAGAAATGTAAAAAATGTCAGTTTGTTTGAAATGACTTTTAACTCAGTAATAGTATTTTCTAGGCCTAAGTAATTTTATATTGAAAGTAGTGCAATATAAAACAATTCAGTTAGCTACCTACTATATGAACTATCCAATTTCATACTTGTCAATCTCTATGCTATTCGAATGCCTTAAGTACGGTTCGTACTTCAAATGCTGGTTGTACTATTATGCATTACCAGATATTCTTTATTGTACAGAAATTTCATTTACAACCTAAATGAAAATAGTAATGATATTATTTAATCGCCTGTACTATTGAAGTTTCACATACTGAGATAAACCCGTCGCTACACTTAAAAATATTCCTAATTCTTTGATACTGACTATGTTTGTCCACCATTTAAACAAAAAACCTTTTGTTATTCTCCACGTAAATCATATTTAGGAATAAATGAGAGAGTTATATAAAATATTCTGATTAACATTTCAATCATTTGAAGCATTGTAAATGATGTAGTACACGTGCATAAAAGATGGTTACCATAAGCAATCATTACTTGGAAGAATTCTGATCAGCTTCACAAAACCGTTACAATTACATTTAGGTGTAGTAGAAAAATAAAACTGTTACCTTAAAGTATTTAAATATAATGTATCCACTGGCGATGCTATACCGGTTTAAACATTTGGCATTCAACCATTAAGTCAAACGTTCAAATCTTTCCTCATCTATATCGACCTAGATACCCAGGGCTGCATTAGTAGCACAAAATGCTTGGTACAAAGTTGGGTGCATGAACTATTAGTTAGTAAATGAATTACATCTAAATGCATGAATTAATATATTGGCACTCTAATTACTTCCACTAATTCCTTAATGTTTTTATATAAATAAAAAGTAGATTAAATATTTCTGCCAGGGAAGTCCTACTCATTGCCTTCTCGTGGCGGGGGTGTTGTCTACGAAAATGAGAGGACGAAAAGCGAATGTCCGGCGCTTTAACCGGATTCCAAACCAATGGTGCACATGGGCTCCAGTATCCTGCGGAAACAAATGGCGTATGAACCAATCGTTGGTCACCGGCTACCATGGGACTGCATCTCCTTACGATGCTCCACTGCCTTGTGGGTTAGACCTTTAGGTCAAAGGCTCGGGGAGTGGCCCCCTAAGATAACCACCTGCTTCGGTTTGGGCACCCGGGCAGTATCACAGCCCACACACAAATTGATGAACTCTTTATGCCTATGGAAATTACCTTTCTCGCTTTGAAAAACAAACAATTGATTCAGATTATTATCATTACAATTATTGTCATTATTAATACTAATATTATTATTACTACTATTTTTGTCATTATTGTTATTATTATCATTATTATTATTATTTTCCACATTATTCACCCTCTTTTATACCTATACAGCGGCTCGTCTTTGGTAGAAATCCGACTGTATCTAAACGTTCTCGAGTCACTGTCCGGTTGAAAATTGTATGTTACCACCGAATACGAGGACTGAAGCAGATTTTCTGAAACCACGTCCACCATTCAAACTGGCTGCCTTCAACGTTCGCACATTTATGCAGGTCGGACAACAGATAGGGCTGGCTATGTCTTTGGAAAGTCTTAATATTGATGTTTGTTGTCTATCCGAGACCCGTATTCAAGACTCTGGCGAAGTACTACAAATTCGACCTCCATCTGTCGCTTCGAAAAGCTTGTTTTACGTGCGCTTATCCGGGGACCCTGTGGCATCTTCGTCTGGTCTTGCTGGCGTTGGTGTCGCACTAAGCGCTAGAGCTGAGGCAGCACTAGTCGATTGGATCCCCATTAACAGTCGGTTGTGTGCCGTTAGATTAGAAAGTTCCATCAAAGTGAGAAGAAATCGGCGTGAGAAACGATGTCTTTTCGTCATCTCCGCCTATGCCCCGACAGATTGCAGCCCGGATGCAATCAAGGATGAGTTTTACCACCAGTTATCTGTTCTTCTCCAGAAAGTGCGTTCGACAGATATTGTAGTACTAGCCGGAGACTTGAATGCTCAGGTCGGGCGTCTAGGCACAGAAGAGAGTCGTTTAGGTGGTCGATGGGGACTCGTTGGTCGCAGGTCAGATAACGGGGACCGTCTACTGCAACTGTGCACAGACCACAACCTGTTTCTGGCTAGCACTAACTTTCGGCACAGTCATCGCCGATGTGCCACCTGGCGTCCTCCCTCTGCATCTCAAGCCTGGACACAGATTGATCATATCGCGATCAGCCTCCGC